TCAGTTGTAGAAATCCTTTGCAGTGTCAGGAGCCCATTATGTAACGGGCTCCTGAAAGTGTCCAATATATACCATTAAGGTCGTAGTAGTAGCAAGTAGGATAAATATTGTAAGAAATATACAACATTTTTAGAGACATGTTTCGGCATGCTTATGCCATTTTCAGTTACTCATTGATTGAAAATGGCGTAAGCATGCCGAAACATGTCTCTAAAAAAGTTGTATAAATCTTACAATATATCATTAACTTGGTTACTAAAACCAAGTTATGCAGTAGATTGAATCGGATCTTTATCCCTCGACCTCTTTTCGCAGGCAGCTACAAATAGAGATTTCGTCATGGAAATAACTTGGAAGGTAATGAATATCAGTCGTGCATAGGTTTTCTCACGCCAAAAAAATCTCGTTTATTCGGCAAATTCAAACGCCCTATAAAAGTTGTATCTACAAATAAGAGCTTATTTATTAACTATGGTGTTAAGACGTTAACGTAGCGGGTCAGAGAATAGGTAAAGAAGACTTTCTTGAACGTGCTTGAACGCAAACCACTCGCTGAGTTATGACAAAAGGTCTGCAAAGATGATATTTAGGAGCTCTACAGACATCGAGCTGAGCAGCTAAGTAGTGTGTTGAATAAAGGGGGAAAGTTTCTAGAGAAACCGAGGTAATTTGGTTTCCTACACTGCAATGATGATGCAAATTTGCCACCGTAAAGATTTCGAAACCTGACTTTTTTAACATTAGCCCTTCGTCTTTTGCTCTGATGAGGGGTAATACTTGAAACATCAGCTGTAAAAACACTTTGATGTGTCAGGAGCCCATTATGTAATCGGGTCCTGAAAGTGTCCATATACAGTACATCATTAACTTAGCTGATAAAACCAAATTACGCAGTGAATCGAATCGGATCTTTATCTCTCAACGTCTTTTTGCAGGCAGCTACAAATAGAGATTTCGTCATGGAAAATAATTTGCAACATAATGAATATCAGATACAATGAATATATGAAGTTCATATATTTTGAACTGCGGTATTAAATACGTATGATGCACTAGTATCGCAGAGGTCAGTGGTTCGAATCCCGTACAGGCCTGATTTTTTTCAGGTCTGATTTTCGATATTGCGTAAATAGCGCTATCTACTGCGAAKGATCGTGCATCATACATAATGAATATCAGTGGTGCATAGTTTTTCTCACGCCAATCTCGTTTATTCAGCAAATTCAAAGGTCCTAAAGTTTTATCTACTAACTAGGAGCTTCTTATTAACTATGGATTAAGTGTCATCGGTAACAAACAAAATCGGCAAACTTAGCTTTACTAGTTTTAATATTCAACAACACATGGCGTCCCGTGAATAATTAATATTTTTTTTCGTGAATATCAAGTTTTGTTGACAAGCCGTTTTGCGACTGTTATGAGATGTAACTAAGGTAAATTGATGATTTCTCGAATACATCTGACAATTTAAATAGATTGCTATCTATAGGTGACGAAATCTGTTGATTAATACAAACAACGTAATCAAAATTGATAGGCGCTTGTTATCTATGTTCAATTGGCTCGAGCCGTTTGGGTTTGTCTCGTAGAGTGTAATCATCGTACCTTCGACGGTCTTTTCCACCTGTGTACAAGTTGTTCCTGTGACAATCGTGATGTTGTATTTTGCGAGGCTTAGGTGGAATTTCACCGCGTCTCTTAAGGCTCGCTGCTCCCATCCTAACGGAAGAGATAACACAGCTGATCAACTATCTGATTATGAACCAATCATGGCCAACCGAATGGAAGAGTGGGAACTTGACACCGGTATTTAAAAAAGATGAAGATACACGCAAAGAAAATTATCGTCCTGTTTCTATTCTTACCGCCATTTCTAAGGTGTACGAGAAGGTTATGTTTGACCAGCTGTACGGCGCTTTCCATGAACATCTTTCTCCGAATCTATCTGGGTTCTTGAAGAAACACTCCTGTTGCACCGCACTCTTGAAGATGACTGAGGACTGGAGGCGAAGCCTTGACAAAAGGGAGGCAGTTATAGCCGCGGCAGTGGACCTGTCCAAAGCATTTGATGCTAGTAACCATAACCTCCTATTGGCTAAATTAAAAGCGTATGGCTCCTCTTCGTCTGCATTAAACTTGATTTCTTCCTATTTGTTGGGGCGAAGATAGCGAGTTAAGTTGTCCGGTGTTTGCTCCAGCTACTCAGAAGTAATGGTGGGCGTTCCCCAAGGGTCCCTCCTCGAACCGCTGCTGTTTAACATTTACATAAATGGCTTGAACTACGCCATACCAGATGTATCTCTAAGGTTATACGCCAACGACACAACTATGTATGCCTCAGACGTCTCGCCCATGGTTCTCGAATTTGTAGTGAATAATGGTCTTGAGCGGTTATCATCGTGGTTTCGAGAGAATCATCTGGTAAAACAACACAAAGACACAAGCAGTACCCATTGGTCCCTGTAAGTACAGTTACGACCTGGCCATACATAGCTCTGTGATTGAGACACTGCCATCTATCAAAATACTTGGCGTTGAACTTGATAGCATGCTATCTTTAAAGGATCACATTACTTAACAGCTTCAAATGTATACGCTGAAAGTGGCGCACTTAGGAGAAGCACGGGCGTTTTGTCCCTGACAATGTTATGTTAAGGCTCTGTAAAACTTTCATTCTCCCTCATTTTGAATACTGTTGCCCCCTCTTTCTTAGATTGGGGAAAGTGCAAGCGAATCGGCTAGAAGATGCCAACTATTATATTCTTAGATCACTGCTAGGTTATCGCAAGTCTACCCTTCATGATGAATTGCTGCGCATCCTGAATATGGAAACGTTAGACCAGAGAAGGAAACAACAATTCCTTATTCTGTTATATAAATGTTTGCATAACGACGGTCCCAAATACAGAGGTTTTTTTAGTTTTAGGGAAACTATGTACAACCTGAGAGGCACCGGCATTAATTTGTGCGCACCTAAATCTAATTTAAATTTTATGAAAAAATCTTTCACTTATATGTGTGCGCAGCTGTGGAATGGATTTCCTACAAGTGTAAAACTGGCCAATGATATCAACCTTTTTAAGAAGCTATAGAGAACATTGAAACTTTAGCTGCTTCTCAATTTTATACTTGTATTTAAGTGACTCTCAATTTCATTGTACAAACTTAATTTTTAATCTTAATTTTAAATTATTTAAGCTATTGCTTCACCATTTTATACCTGTATTTAAGTGACCTTGAATTTTACTGTACAAACTTAAATTTTAATATTAATTGTTAGTTATTTTAATTTCTTATCAATTAGGTTTTGACAGTATGTATTAGGTTTTTTAGATACTTAATCTTAGAGGCACGCACGTATTTTGAACGAGCTCTATGAACTCCTTGACGCTACGTGGGTAAATAAAGTATTGATTGATATTGATTGAGGCTTGTAAACTTCAATTCTTGATCCTGATGTCTTCCAGCGACAGTCTTGTCGACTCCGTGTAGTGTTTTCGTTTCTCCATTTTTGTACTTCACAGTAATATCCAAGTCAACCAAGTTGTCGTCAATTCCTCCCTTTTTTTCCCCGTTTTTTTTTCCCTCGGTTATCCAACAATCTGTCACATAAACTCCGGTACATTGGATATCCCTTTCAACAACACGAAATTGTTTAATGGTGTGCTGTGCATAACTGATAGTTTTTCCATGAATATCAAGTTCTCTTTACAAGCCACATTGCGAGTGCTATGAGGTGCAATTAACTTGAATCACCGATCATTTCTCGAATACAACTGACAATCTATGGATGAATTGCCAGTACGATGCTAGCTATCGATGACGAAAAATGTTGATTAATGCAAACAACGTAATCGAAAATGAAATGAGCTTGTTATTTATGTGCAGTTGAAGCTCGTTATTTAAAAGTATGTAGAGTTGGCTAGAGGCGTTTGGGTTGATCTTGTGGAGTGTAACCATCGTACCTTAGACGGTCTTTTCCACCCGTTTACAAGGTAACAATCGAGATGTTGTATCGAGCAAGACTTACAACTTCGAAGTCTTGATTGGGCGTGTAACCTTATCAGTGACCTGAGTTTCTGAGGAGTAAACCTTACCAGAAATAACGAATCAGATGTTTATGACCAATTGCGTATTTTTTATCTGCTTGTCAACTTTCGCAAACCCGCATATTGGGGCCGACAAGCGGCCGAATAAACATACTGATATCAATTAGTTCACGTGGCTCGGTATCACATAGTTTTTGTCTTAAAAGTAGTTTCGTGTCAGGAACTGCGATTGCTATGTTCGTTTGTTACAGTTTTTGCACTTTTCCCACCGTTAATTGCACAAAATATGTAAGTATTAATTTACAATTTCTTTTTATCCCTACGTGTTTTATTTAGCTTCTCTTTGTTCAGTTTTTACCGTTGATCGATTCGAAAACACACAGTTCTGAATGAGGAATCAAGTGAATAACAATTTTCATGCAAAATACCTAAAACCTCCAGTTTTAGAAATTCAAAGTTTCTAAAGTTATTTAACGATGTAAAAGTAAATAGATTTTGGACAAGTTATCATGAAATATTTCAGCTCTGTAGATAAAATCGCAAGGGAACGCAAAATTGGTCAATATCATTTTTATTGGCTTGATACTTGACTGAGCGATGACGATAATGATTATTATTTTTAATATCAGAGATTTATAGAAACTTTTATTACTATTTTCACTGTTATTTTTGTTGTTTTTGGAACTGGTTTTTGACTTTGATAAATCAAAAAGTAATGTTTGTAAAGTAAGCTTCCTCCAAATAATTGCGACGTAACGCACATTTGTATTGTGTGACATTTCAAAAAGTGCCTGCCTGTAGACTATTGAATAAGAGGCCTTAACATCTAAGCTTTCATCTCATTTGATCACAAAAAAAGATCTGCAAAGTTGTTTTTAAGACCTGGCCTCAGCAGCTGCCTTGTGAAGTGGACCGCATGACTTTGTCTCTCTGTTTGAAGGCAACTAAAAGTATAACTTTAAACTACAGTATCAATTCCACATGTGATTTGTCTCACGAAAGCAAATCGTCTTTTCCTAGTCTTTATTGGGCAAATTTGAAAGTCCTACATAAATGGTACTACAAAGTAAAAATCCCATCATCGACTAAGAATTTAATGTCTCTGGTGACATAAAATGTTGACAAAAAAACTCGAGTGAATGATTTAAATAATTACGTGTACATCGTATCCTACTACACCTTTGGCTGTGCGAAAATGGTGGACAACATTTGTTCATTTGGTTAATCGTGTATGATATTAACCAGACTAACTAGTTAGAAAGCGCTTTAAGATGTCACACGGACTTAACTACGAGTAACGAAATGTTTTGATAAACAGAAACAAAGTAATTACAAATGATAGAATATTTTTGCTAATGTTCAGTTGACTCGAGCCGTTGGGATTTGTCTCATAGAGTGTTACCATTGTGCCTTCCACAATCTTTTCCACCTGTTTACAGGTTGTTCCGGTGACAATCGAGATGTTGTAACGAGCAAGACTTACAACTTCGAAGTCTTGATCCTTGATGTCTTCCAGGGACACTGTGTTGTTGATTCCATGTAGTGTTTTTGTTTCACAATTTTTGTACTTCACTGTAGTTTTCAAGTCAACCAAGTTGTCGGCGACTCCTTCCTTCATCGATTGATTCCTTGCTAATGAATCCAAACATAACTTTCCTTCATCATCTAACAACCTCTCTCTCTCATAGGTAACTCTCACAGCTTTTTCCTCTGGGATGAAGACATAACTCCTGTACAATGGATATCCCTGCCGATAGACCGGGGCGTTGTTGAACGTATAGCGGTGCACTGCATAGGCAAAGACGACTTTCTTGAACGTGCTTGAACGTGAACCCAATTTAGTCTGTGAGACGATTACTGGAGAACGGACTGAAGTAGCTTTGATTGGTGTGTATTTGGTGATTTTAGGTTTTGAGCTGGACCAGCTTGAACTATGGCTTGTTTTACGAGATCTGGAGCTTTTAAAACCCCCTGATCTGCCTCTACCACTACGTCCTCTTGTTTCGGATAACTCCACTGTTGCAATAAGAACGATGGCAGCAAGAAACACCGCTGTGATTCTCATCTTTTGCTAAAGACGACAATGGAAATCGGGATTAATCTCAGTTTCTCTGACGATCTTTCCTTCGCCGGTTGTCCAACTTCCTGCAAACAAGATTTGAAAAATCATGTGAGTGCTTGAACTGAACTGATTATTGATTGAAATAAAAGGAATCCTTCGATTCAAGCCGGGTTTCACCTGAATTTTGACGTAAAATTCGATTTCTGTTTTTTCTCAAAATCTCAACTTCAACTCTTGAAATTAATGTTGGAAAGTGTTTTGGTTCGATTTTTTCGGCATTTGGCAATGAAATAACGGTTTCTTTACAAGAGGTATAAAACAGGAATGCCGCAAGGAACTGCGCTCAAGCAATTCAATTAGATTAGTGGTCCCGACCGAAAACAGCACTTTCCAAGATAACGCGTCGAAACTATTTAACATTTTACCAGAATCTGTTAGAAACTGTAAAGATTACAGAACCTTTTTAAGACTTTCAAGGAATTTTTTGTAGTAGAGTACAGAGTGATTAGTTAGTTTTACTGTAATTTCTATTCTGTTAATCCTACTTCTACTGTGAGTGTGAGTGTGAATACTTTATTAATGTGTCAAGAGATTTAGCTACCAAGCTAACTGGAGACACACACACAAAAAAAATTCCCTATCTACAATATTTTTAAATGATATTCATATAAATATATACAATAAAATATAAAATCGGAGATAAAACAGACAATCATACACAGCAAAATGTATCAATCACTTGCATATAAAATTTAGTTAATAAGAAGCTATTATGAAACACAGGCATTGCATTTGCATGACCCATCTAAAAGGTTCGTAATATTAATTCTCCTGATGGCTTTCTTCAAGGCTTGAAGACTATTTTTTCTTCTAATATCTTGACTTATTTTCCCCCATACATAGGGGCCTAGATATTTAACACTATGTTTCTCATACTTCACCGTCCTGAATCTAGGAATGGGGAATTCTCCACATCTTAGATTATAGTGTCTATCTTGCTCATAGAAAATTTCACAAATGGGCTCAGGTGCCAAGGAGTTTTGGACCTTATACATTAGTATCAAAATGTCTTGAAGACGCCTATTTTCTTGGGTAGACGCCCCTTTTCCAATAATTCTCCATATTCAGTTTTCCTGTCGTTGAATACTGCGCGTAACTCCCTTTCTTGAATCTTTTCTAGTTTTTTTTTCTCCGATGCTTTACAAAAATGCCACACAGTATGGCAAGATGTAAGGTCAGATAATATGGCCGATTTGAACAGCTGAAGCTTAGCTTCTATAGGGATCATGCGCCTAAGACGAACAAGAGCATTTATTTTTCTGCTAGCCTTCTTACAAATAGCACCAATATGTGGACTAAATTCAAGCTTATTATCGATAGTAACCCCTAATAGTTTAAGCGCGGATACAGATGCAATGTTTTCTCCATCAATGTCAACACTTATTGATTGTTCATCATTGTTCTTCTTTCCTATCAACATGGTATTATATATCTCACGTTTTCCCATTAAAAAGTTGTCTGTGTACCACCTAGAAATTGTATATTGCGTAATTTGTAAATAACTTAATTTCATTTATTTTAATTATAATTGATGCATTTTAACAGGAAGAGCCACCTAGTGGATCTGTTAATAAACCATTATTATTATTGTTATTATTATTTTGAAATAAAAGCTGGGAGGTGGGAAATTTAAGGAAGTGTCAGAACAAATTTGACTGTCTTGTTTTTGAAACGTTTTTTATCAAATAACTGAAACCAATGCTAAATGAACAGTGCGATTCAATTCGCGCCAAACTATTTGTTTAGAACAATTCGTGCTACGATTATTTTATTATTTCATTCCTTTATTCTTTTATTCTCTTCCATTGTATATTGTTTACACTTTTTCACATATATTAGCGTTCGCCACATTTTATCAACTTGCTTCAACATATTTATGCTGATTTGGAAAACTTACTCACTTGAAAATGACCTCAGAGAGGTTGAAACTTCGTGACTTCTTAGCGCTACCTTTTATTTCAAAGTCGATTTCTAAGAAACTACTTATTAAGATTATTATTATTACTACCATCTGGAACTGTGTTACCATGGCGACCATGTCAGCATTTTCTTTGTTTTTGATGAGTGGTTGCGGCCCCTTTCCTGCTCTTTTGGCCCCGAATACGCGAATTTGACACTTGGTGTCGCCTAGATAAGTGTAAATCTTCTCTAGCTACAGCGAATTGCACCCTGGGATAGATTTTTAATGAGGAAGATTATTGGAGATTGCCGATTGGCATTAGTGAGCGCATAAATCGTTAAAATATCGTTACAAATGGGTGGAAAAAAGGCAAGAAGCCGCTACAGACCAACAAGGAAAGGTGAAGGATTCGGTGGAAGTAAAAGAAAGCGAAAACTTGTGGAAAAGACTTCGTCAGAAGAATGAGACTTCGATTGAGCAGACGTCAGACTCTGTGGACTGTGACACACAACCACTCAGTTCATGATAAAGCTGTACCATTCAATAGATGAATCATCAAGTCATTCGAATGATGTCTTCATTGGGCAGAGCAAACTGACTGGTTACAGACTTATCGATTTGAAAAATCTGTCGTCATCGCTCTTGGTGGCACATAAGTGTGACGAAGGTGAGGAAGTTAGTAGAGTGATTTTCTGAAGCTTTAAATTGAGTTTCCAAGCTGGAGGTTAAGAGAATTTCAGTGGATATTGAAACTTATTCATTTATGCTGAGGTTTTGATGCCTTTCTTCGTTCATAACATATGCATTTATATTTCCATTATTGAACTAACCACCCAGCACATCAATTTTGTTTTTAAATCACACATTTAGTTCCAAAGACTGTGTCTCATATGGCAAATTTCTCTTGTTTCTTCCTCAGCAAACATCATTCTCGGAGAGAATCAGCAGGCAGGATTGAAGTCTAACCATTCTCTCATGTGTAGTGCTGGTGATGGGAGCACTTCACTCCAAACATCAGCCAACATCACAAGCAGGAGAAAATCCTTTGGTGTGGATAACGGGCAGTTTATCACTCTCTCGAATCTGGGAGTGGTTATGAGGGACTTGCATCCTTCTGTGTACTTATGAACCTGCTGTGTTTGTCAACAAATGCATACTACAAACAGGTAGATAGCATCCTCGGCATTGTAGAGGATTATACAAAGGAAGAACTCTTAAGCGCAGGTCAGAGGCTGCGAAAAATTATCCTTGATGAGAATCAAGAAGTTGATGATTAGACAGTGGATACAACTGTGAGCTTTAACGGAACTTGGGAAAAGCGAGGTTTTACCTCTTTAAAAGGGGTATTCTTTGCCATTTCAGTGGACACTGGTGAAGTTCTAGACTACACTGTATTGTCAAAAGCCTGTCAGAAGTGCGCCCTCAAACAGTCACAGTGTGAAGGGATGACGGGAAGTTTCATGAGTGTAGAAGAGAGCATTTGGCCACTGGTGAATGTCATAAATTTCAATGGCAGTTAAACAGCCATGGAGGCGGAAGTAGCTTCCATCCTTTGGAGGAGATCCATTGAACTTTATAATTTACGGTACAAGTGGATGGTGTCTGATGGAGACAGCAAAGCCTTTAACACTGTTGAAAATGTGTATGCTGGATTGTCAGTTATTAAATTGGATTGTATTGGCCATGTCTAAAAGAGAATGAGAAAGCACCTTATGAACCTAAAAGCATTTAGGGACCACGGACGGCTCACCGAAACAAAAATGAAAAAACTTAAAAAATGTTATGGCTTGGCTATACGTCAGAATATTCTGAATAAGTTGACTCCCACTGACACTGAGGGAAGTTGATGTTGCCATTTACACCATGAGAAAGAACATTATAGCTGTTCTTAACCATAGTGTGAAACATCAAGATCCTGCTAAACAACACAGGTTCTGTCCTGCCGAAAAAGATTCTTGGTGTAAATGACAACAGCAGATGGTGACATCTGGAAAAGCCACTAATAAAGATGATGACTGTTTGTCAGAGGTATTCCTTGAACTTTTGAGGCCCACATTCATGATTCTCAGCGATGCAAAGCTTCTGGAGAGGTGTATTTGTGGGACCACTCAAAACCCGAATGAGTGTCTCAACCCAATGGTTTGAGTGCATTGCCCCAGCTAAAAGGCACTTATCCTCAAAATTTCACACTTGTATCACTAGTTTGAACAATTCCACAACTTTTTCTGGCTAATCTTCTTGACTATTTGATCCCTTTCACTCATTTCTAAATTCGGTACATGTAACACAACGTCACGTTCTCCTGAACAATAACTTTCGAGTTAAAACAGGATAAAACAGAGTTCTTGTGCTCAAGTATAAGGTGCAAATTAAAAAATGTTTTTTTCCAGATGTTTGGGCTTAGCCATTCAACAGTGGAAGTATGATCAGCAGGTGATGTTTTGTTGAGAAAGTTGCTTTCTGTTCCTCATGGCCCAGGGGTCTTTCTCAACAACGTATCTTTTGACTTCCACTAATGAAGAGCTAAGCCCAAAGAACAAACTACACAATCAGCGAGCTAGCTCTCTGTCAAATAATTTCTTCGAACATTGAAAGGAAGACATTACAAACCAAAAAAACATAATAATAATAATAATAGTAGCAATAATAGTAGTAGTAGTAGTAGTAGTAGTAGTTTATTAACAGATCCACTTGGTGGCTCTTCCCTGTTGAAAATACATCAATTACAATTAAAATAAATCCAATTAAGTTATTCACAAGTAATGCAATATGCAATAAAAGTAGAAATAAGATTGAGAGAATAAAAACTACAGCAAAACTAGCTAATCACTCTGTACTCTATTACGTAAAAAATTCCTTGAAAGTCTTAAAAAGGTTTTGTAATCTTTACAGTTTCTAATAGATTCTGGTAAAATGTTGAATAGCTTTGACGTGTTGTCTTGGAAAGTGCTGTTTTCGGTCAGGACCACTAATCTAATTAAATTGCTTGAGTGCAGTTCCTTGTGGCATTCCTGTTTTATTATTTTAAGATAATCTGGCCAAGTCTGAGTGTTATGCAAAGCTTTAAAGCATGATTTCAGGAGGTTCAAATCTCTTCTCTCATTGATTGGAAGCCATCTGATTTTAAGTACATCCCGAAAGTTCTTAACATAGTGACCAAGAACAAAACTCATGGAGCTAAAGTGGTCCGTTTTGCTGCTGCCTCAGCTGTGTGCCACTTCCACAAAGGGAATGTAGAATGGAAATAATGGAAACAATCAAAAACTCTCCATCCTTGGTGGAATGCACACAAGCCATTCCTTTCGGTAAAAGGATAATAAGCGCTTGCGAAAAGCCGAAATGCAAGCCACTGTTAAGGAAAAGAAACGACGCCAGGCAATGCAAATCGTTCGCACAAGAAGAGAGGAAGCCCTTCGTGAACTCAAAGGACTGACCTATGAGGCTGGATCATTCTGATTTGTTTCCTTAGGCCTCTAGAAACAAAAGTTGGAGGATTTTCCACTTATTGATATCACTGTTTATGACCAATTGTAATAGGTTAGCTTTTGTACACTTTAAGTCTATTTTCCCGGAGTGATCAATTTTTCACCTTTGAGAATAGATATCTCAAGAAGGATTTGAGCTATTAGCCTTAAATGCTCAAGAGAGTTAGGTCAAATTTATTTAATTGTTATGAAAGAGGGAATTATACAAAAGTTTGCTGGGCAAAAAATGACCAATGATTATTCAACTAAGGGTTTAGCATCTAACTTGAAATAACTCCTGTGTGATGGCATTTTACAATTTTAAGCTGTACAATCTCTGGAACAATAGTGTTTAGAAAACACGCGGGCCGGTACAGGGTTTGTAAGCATTTGACCCACAGACACCTATAATTAACCAACCCAAGCGTGCGCACTGTCTGAAGAGAAAAAAGCAAAACTGTGCGTGGCCAGTTTTTCTACTCCATCAAAGTTTATTTCCTCCAAGCACAACATCAAACTTATTGAGAGTAAGATGATATTCGCTGACAATCATCTAATACGCTAAAACGGACGTGATTTTACTGGCCTGTAGATAGATACATTTATGGCTGGTTTGTAATGGATGAGCAAAAAGCGAATGTGGTTCTTCTTTTCTGCAGGAACAAGTCGAAAATATGTAGTACGGTGTTCCTGTTGAAAGGCCGCCAGAAAATGCTTGTATTTAGAATCCAGAGGGTAGATGCGCTCTGAAACCCGCTTAAAGAGCAGACCATTCCTGCCAAAGAACCTGCTCAAAAAAACTGCCTGTTTTGGAACGAATTGAAGTTTATTTCCTTGATCTCCTCTGTTACACAGTGGAATTAAAAAGGCAATTCAAGTAAGAATCTATCCTAAAAACGTCAACAAGGTTTGTGGAAAAGTTCCAGAAACAACAATGCGCACTATCGAGAAGCAACAGAAGAGCCGTGCGACAGCGGATCGTGAAGGGAACAATGAATTGCGCAAGTCATAGCTGTTCAAAATCGGCGAATAATAGTGGAGCAAAATGCTTTAAAAGATACTGCTTATTCATTCAACCTCTTCGCCCGTAGGTAACATCAGAATACATTCGCAAAGCCATGATCCAGATCAATAGTGTTTCTTTACTAACAGTATAACCTTAGAATACGATAGCTAAACAACTCGGGAAACATCTCTTTCCTATCTCGCCTTTTACCAATATCGACAAATTTATTTGCTGGATGTTTTTGTTAGGTTTTTCGGACCTGACTGTGCACAACATTCGATCAAATTCCGATCATTCTGAACTGCTTGAACTTCTCATTAATCCTGGCTTTCATAGCGCAAACACATGAAAAGAAAAAGGATCGCGAACTGTCAATAGGACGCTTTTTATTTTCTTTGCTTTATATGATCTAATTTTTACTCTAATTTCCCGCCTGAGTGGAACTACCATGCTCATGCACGTGACTTTCATAGGCTACGCCCCTTACCTATACTGAAAAAATAATTTTAGTGTCTGTAACCTGGCTGCACTACAATGATACTGGGCAGATACTACTTGATGTTATTAACAACAGATACCACATCCTTTGATGCTTGAAAAATTAAACAAATCGACACCTGTGTGATTCAAAGTTTTACCTGTCCCCGAGCAAACAAGTCGTGTTTATATTAAGTTATTCCGTCAGATATCGGGAATTATTGAAGGGGGTGCAAGTTATTCGAATAATTTCCTGGTTTTAATTGTCTGATGCATTCATCAAGACACATACAACAAACGAACCCTGTTAAAAAAAAAAAATTCATAATTTTATGATTATCGTCTTTGCGCTTGTCTGACTTGGAAAAGTAGAAAATTATTTTAAGACAAACCACTGTCGAATCTTTGCTGTTCAACAGAGTGCGACTTTTGGTTCCTTCTGTTTATAAGTTCAAGAAATAGATAGATGCACAATGTCTGGGTGGTAGTCTACCTTCGTCAGTAATTTTCAAACCTTCCTTCTCCGCTCGTTGAGACAAAATTAATTTTTCACAATCAAAACAATCAGAACTACTACATTTCTTATATTTGCCATATTTGGCCTATCATCCACATCAAGAGAATATGAACATTATATTATCTTGTCAATATCAATTATTTAAATAAGGCGTTAGGATTTGCAGAGAGAACCCTACAGTACACCAGGCAACATTATTCGGAGGAAAAAGCAGGAGTAAAGTGTTCTGCTGTCTGCTAGGGAAAAATATTTTACTAACGATGCAAAATGCATGAACAATTTTAACCAAGTAAAATCGTATTAGATGCTTTGAACGCGCTCAAAGCGAAGGCTATTAAGAGTTAGAGTGTAAGAGCTGGCTCTACTCCTACGGCTCAGTTATTTGAGTAGAAACATTGAGAAAGATCAAACACAAGTCCTAAAGTCGAAGTTACCTGGTTTCATGAAGGGAAACTTCTTCGGTTTAACTATGCGGCCCCAAACTGTGTTTGTCGTGCAGAAAACAAGGTAGTGAAAGTCTGATGTCACAGTAGCTGAAAGAATTTATGACGAGCTGCGCGCGCTAGACATGTTTACAACTGTCCCTCGACTTCTTTTCTTTTGAAAGGACTTTTATCGATGATGCATTGTCTAAAGACTTTCCTATATCTAAGATTCCCATATTTTTTCTTGACAATCATATGATCCCATGAAACACTTTGACCTCACTACCGCCGAAAGAGACCTAGGCTGTCGGGAAACTAATTTGAATCGCAAATATATTTTGAAAACTGAATATTCATATTTGCGACCAGTCTTGCACGTGGAAAGACAGCTTACAAAACCAACGAAATCTCAGCCTCTTTTGTAACTGACCTGGAGCCAGGAAACACGAAATTTAACGTTATAACCTCCAATGTTGTCAGTCATGTGAAGGGGGCGATGTGTTTCCTCGAAGTTGATAAGTCGAGCGGTTTCAATTCAACGTGGAGTATTGATGGATGTCATTCATCTCATCGCGGATTTTCGTAAGCTAAATGACCTACGTATTTCTACATTGTATACAGAAAGGCAGGTTTCTTGTCGTTTTTATTCCCAGTAAAAGGTAGTGCGTAGAACATGTTAAATTGCTTTGTACTGAGAAAATAGATCCTCCGAGTCTCAGTAAGTTTACTTACACATCATTGAGAAAAAGTTCATTCGTGAAATCTGCTATATATTAGCCAAAGATTTGAACTTACAAGCAGTTGCATGTCAACAAACTTCTTACATTACGACTGCAGCTGTTACTACTGTTTAGTATACAATGAATATATGAAGTTCATATATTTTGAACTGCGGTATTAGATACGTATGATACACGATCCTCGCAGTAGAGAGCGCTATTTATGCAATAGCGAAAATCAGACCTGAGGTCAGTGGTTCGAATCCCGTACAGGCGTGATTTTTTCAGGTCTGATTTTCGCTA